TAAAAATTCCCAATATTTCCATTCAGCCTTTCTCCATTATTCCGTCATTAGATCCTGGTGTAAAATGGCCCCATTAAAATAAGCTAAAAACGGCGTCAAAAGTTAAAAGGTTTACAAATTAATACAATCGATTATCGTAAAAGACAAACTAGACAAGAAGCCATGACGTAGCCGGAAGTAGAACTTTCATGAGAATTCTATACTTGCTTGTGATTGGCTAACGCGATAATTCCTTCCCAGTGCCCGCTGATTTCGAATTCCGAAAATTTTGTTTTTTTCAAATGAATTTTTTTTTCTTTCAGAAAATAGCTAGCTTTTTTCTCAACTTTGATTATATTCAACTTGTTTTTGTTTCCCTATCCCCATTTTATTAAATACAATATTTCAATGAAGTTTCCAATTTTCTACAAAAACAAAGTTAAATGATTAATATTCCAAAAAACATGGCGACCTCATCTAGTGGTGTGAAGTCTTGGCTTTTAGACAAATATGCAAAACAAGTCGAAGTTGAGTGCAGAGATGGCGCCGTTAATAATGCAGTGGAGTCTATGAGCTCCAAAGGTAGCGGAGAGTGGAAGGTAAATATAGCATATATGAAAAAATTAAAGGAAAATATAAATTCAGTAAACTTACAGTTTTGCTAGAAAACACTATTCCAATTTCAACTTGGAAGGGCAAAATGTTACTCGTTTTCCAAGCTCTATCGTTATTCCTTGGTTATATAATTTAACTTGCTTATAATGTAGGTCATACACATGAATAATTGAGTTCACAAATAAATTTTGCTAATCTTACAATATTTCTATCAACCGGTTTGAAAATGCATATATATATATATATATATATATATATATATATATATATATATATCGAGATTTTTGGGCATCGTATTCTATTAATATAACAATATTCTTGGGTTTTTAATCACGAACAAGTTACGTTTTAGCATAATTTTACAGAAACAACAAAGAACCAAAATGCTGTCAACGCATTTTATGTAAATCAGTTGTCCAACTATTATAAAAGCCAATAGAAAACAAATAAACAATATAAAACAGTCCTTTACCCTTGACACTTATCCCCCCCGTCACGTGACGTCATATGAAACCGAAGAACATGTCTAATATTAGATGGGTGTTTGCAGATTGAATTTTCGAACGCATATTTATATACATTGGACCTAATTCTTTCTGTAACTTATTTGTTTGCAGCAAATTTCGTCACTAGAAGGAGATGGTTCACTACAGATGACTTTAATTGAAGACAAACATTTGATGCTAAGCTCTGGATCCCAGATTAGAGTACGTCCATTGGTCAAGCAGAGGTTTCAATGAGGATTAAGCCAATAATGCAATTATATTAATAATCAATATACCCAATAATACAATGTCAATATTCAATCATGATTACGTATAACATTTCTATAGCGCGAATTTACATGTTGATATGATAAAATCATAGATATCTTATATACACTAGATAGCGGATCTCTTAGTAAAATTGAAGCCAAGAATTTTCCAGCTGTTTCCCCCCATTTGAATAGATGGCGGTCATGTTGGTATTTCCCACTCGCTAATAAACGCTAAAAAACAATGAATAACTTTCATTATTTGAATAGTTTAAAAATGTATTTGGAATAGTTTAAACCTACTACAACCCTGTTTAAGAAATAGAAAACATATGAATCTTCTCATTTCATGGGAATACCCCGATACAGCAATCACGGCTTCAATTTTTGAATTGCAGAATAATTAGATGCGCTATCTAGTGTATATAAGATATCTATGGATAAAATGCGCTTTATACATCACGTATTACGCTTACCTTATATACTTAGCTAGAGTGCGCTTAGCCTAGAATATTTTATATTTTATACGACAATTGTGATATTACTTTGATTCAATACATCATTTTGATAATTACGTCACACATACTTTTTGGTCTCGGAGCCACGCTCTCATTAGTAAATTACGCAAAGTGATTGGCTCACGATTCATGAGAACGAGGCTCCCAGGCCAAAGACGTAATTATCGAAAGGGTGTATTCTTAACTATGTATCCTAACCCACCCTGTCAACTTTCCCTGTGGGGAAGAAACCAGAGCACCCAGAGAAAATCCACGACCTTCGGCAGAGCGTTGACTGACTTTTCACATGAGTCCGTAGCGAGAATCAAACCCACGAACTCAAGGGTGAAACGCGCTTGCTCTGACGATTATGCTACCAAAGCCACATAATCGTAATCAATCACAGTCAATCACATAAAAACATATCGCTAAATAGTATAAATGCGTAATTCTAAATATGATGTTTCCAATAATTTCAGGAGAGTTTCGCTCTTGTCAACACAGCCCAATGGTTAAAAACGTATTGCAAAGGAGACAGCGTGTTGTTTGTGGTCAGAATGAATGTGAGTCCTGAACTCTGAGTAAAGCTTTTGGTGTCGTCATGCATGAAATGCCCTCGAAAAGATATCCACAATCACAGGGCAGCTCGAACAAAGATGAAAACGTGCCACAAAGCAGCCTCATCTACAAACACAAAGTCTAGGAATATCGTACTTTTAGGACCGAACATTTCAACTATAATTTAGGAACAGTAGTGATCAAAGGACCCTGGTCATGGTGTGGAACTTCCCTGCGAGTTCAAGATTTGAGGAGATTTGAGGAGTTTTTCTTGCATTTGCTTGAAACACAAATTAATTTAAAAAAAATTGTTTTAGGAGATTACAAGTTATTCAAGTTGTCGTTGTTGCTATCGTTAATTGTTGCTGTCGTCGTTGTTGTTTGTTGTTTGTTGTCTATTGTTTGTTGGTTGTTGGTTGTTGGTTGTTGTTGTCGTTGTCGTATTGTTATTGTCGTTGTTATTGTCGTTGTTATATATAGTTGTTGTTGTCGTTGTTGTTGTTGTTGTTGTTGTTGTTGTTGTTGTTGTTGTTGTTGTCATTGTCGTTGTTGTCATTGTTGTCGTTGTCGTCGCGTTGTTGTTATTTACCACATGATGCAATCTTAACGTTCGATAGAAAAGTACGGTTATGGTTGCCTCACGATCATATATATTTCCCTCCGCAGAACGGCTTCAGAAGGTTCCGCGTGAAGTTCGCCAACACTGGGATAAAAACTGGCATGGATAACTGCATGGATTTTGTTAAAGTCGCCTCGCCAATACTTCCGATGAAAGTTATCCCACTTCCAGACAACATGGAGGCATCTCAGTCTCAAGTAAGGTGCTAATATAGAAGGCCAACCAACCAAGCTAACTCGTTAGTCCGTTAAGACTATTTCAGTTTACTTTTGACCAAAAGATGTACGGCTTGTAATAATGATATTTATTTTCTTGTAATTTCTGGTGATAGCTTTTATTACTTTTCTCTATTTCAGTTTGTGGAAGATTCACAGGCATATAGTACCCCACCGAGTCAGACTTCTCAAGCAGTACGAGATATTTCGTTCGAGGGTGATAACAGTACACTTAAAGAAGGTTCAAGTTTACCAGATATCGCCAGACAGGTATCTTTATACTTTACGTTCTATAAATGCGTGTTATATAATGCACCATTACCACTATCCATCATCACCACTATCCATCATCACCAGTATCACCATAAGCATCACCAACACCATGAACCCGCATCATCACCAACAAAACAATCGCCGCTACTACTACCATCATCACCATCATCACCACACACGATCATTACCACCACCATCGTCACTATGTCACCACCATCATCACCACACCACTACAATCACCACCACCATCACCACCACCATCACCACCACCATCATCACTATATCAGTACCATGATCATCACCACAAAACGTTGCATCATTATCACTACTATCATCACTATGTCATCACCATCATCACCACACTAGTACCATCGTCATCACCACAATTACTATATCACCACCATCATCACTATTACCACCATCACACAACGTTGCATCATTACCACCACCATCATCACCACACAGTAACCGTTATCATCACTATCATCACCATCATTACCACCATCATCACCATCACCATCATCACCACACAGTAACCATCATCATCACTATCATCACCATATCACCACCATCATTACTACCACCATCATCAATATCACCATCATCACCACACCACACCACCACCATCATCAATATCATCACCACCATCATTACTATCACCATCATCACTATCACCTCATCACCACTACCACAAGACATCATCATCATCATCACTATCATCAACATCATTACCCCCATAAGCATCACCAACACCGTAAACCACCATCATCTAGATTCACCCGCATCATCAGCAACAAAACCATTGCCAACAATACCATCATTACCACAACACACCCTCACCACCATCCCTAAGAATAAATCTCCAGTATGTTTACGGATCACTTCTCAACGATTCTCAAATTTCTTTCACAGATTACGTCCAACGATCAAGCTGGTAGTTCCACTTCTACAAACCTACCTACAACTGATTTATCAACCTTGATTAGACTATGCCTTTCAGATCCTGGATTCCCAAACTTTGTAGACAAAGTTGAAAAAGAATTAAAACTACTGACCACACAAAAATAAACCATACCATCTACTGTTCACAGACCTTGAGAGATGGTGCACATTATATTATCTTCTAAATATACATGTACTGAAACACATCTTTAATAAAACACTTTACCCTTGGTTTTTGACCAAAATTTATTATAAAGTTTGACAAATTTACAAAACCTTTTACACATACCTCATTTGGCTAGCTAAATTATTTATCGTCTATTTTTAAGTTAAATTACAGTTACATAATTTACTTTTATTTATCACTGCTTAAATTATTAATTAGAATTTAATTTATTAACTAAATATTTCAAACGGTTCTAGTTGTTGGCTCTTCTTGTTTCCTCGACAAGTTTTATATATTTGCTCGTGTGTACGAGAAAAAATTGACAATTTTTCCTTGCCGAAGAGCCCTGTTCCAAAGCTATCATGCCAGTTTTTGGACAAGGAAAAATGGTTCGTCTGTACGGCTCCCAAGGAAAATTAATTTCTATTTTCCTGTTTGCCGATTGGTCAAACCCATATCACGTGTTCACTAACAATGAAACAATTATTGACCGGTCAATAATAAAAACGAGCTGTTCGCATCAACCCAGCAAGTTCAAAGCAAAGTTCTTTCAAGAGTTTCAGCATGTCTGCCGGTCAAGCCCTGGGCAAACTAGGAAACATTGTTGTGGAAACATTGTTTCCTACCAATGTTTCCTAGTGTTTCCCAGAGTGGGCAAACACTAGGAACCATTAGTGAGAAACATAGGGAAACATCAAATGTTTCTGAATTTGGTAGGAAACATTTTTGCTTCCTGGGAAGCAAATTTTGTTTCCGCAACAATGTTTCCACGGGTGCATGGGCAAACATAGAAACATTTGAGGAAACATCGAGAATCATAAACGTTTCCGCAATAATGTTTCCTAGTTAATTGCCCATGCGGGGCTTCAGTTTTATTAGACCTCAGGAAAACAGCGTGTTTTGTGCCGGCCCTCGACCGCCGTTATTGGCTTCGCCTCGGGCAAGAACGATGGTTTCGGGGACACAGAACACGTTGTTTCCCTCGGTCTCAGTAAATAAGTGTTAAATGCATGAGAACCGTCTTTTTCTACATATTTCCCAACCAGCCTTCGAGATTACCAAGTTGCCGGCCTATAAATTCTGCATACTCTTTCGAACTTTCTGATTAAGTGCATTCATCATGTCGATGTAGTTTTTCTCAGTGAACGTGTTAGGTGAAATTCCTTCAGGCGGATGTGTTGTATGCTCATTTTCGGCTCTATTTTTTTTATATTCCTCTAAAGCTGTGAAATCGTCTTCATCTTCTGACTCGCTGTCACTCAGGAACAGCGGTCCGTTGTTGGTGAAGCTTCCTGCAAAAAAAATTTGTTATGGAAATGAAAGATTGTCAAAAATTATACGTACTATTTTACAACATGAGCTTTGTATATCCAATACAGCACGGATGCGAATGAGAACATTCATATTCTTCAACAATTTAAAAAAAATGAATGATATTTGGTGAGAAAAAGTGAACTTAAAGTTTATGTAAATCAGCATGATTTTGTATCAGATTTTGTATCAAACTCCTTAATTCACGATTTCGTTTGTGTTTTATTCATTAATTATTTCACGAATTAGATATTAAACTTAAACTCAGATATTAAACAAAACCAAAACACTAAAGCTAACTTTATTTAGTATACTATACTGGATGGCTTATCAGTTCTAACTACTGATACAGAGTTCTTGACTTGACCTAACATTAATTTAAGTTCTCTTCATAGAGGTCAGGAATAAGGTTCATCCCTTAGACCCTTACTGTGCTTTAGTGTGTGTGGCCAGTGTGTGTGTGGGGGGGGGGGGGGGGGGGGG